GCCCCTCCCCCACCCAGCCTGGGCCTGGCCAGGCATCCGGCACAGCTCAGTGAGTCCCAGTCCAACATCTGGACCTCCGCATGCCCAGACCCCACCCGGCTCTTGACTCCTCTGTCCCCCCCGGGCCTCAGCCCTCCCCAGGACGTGGTCTGAGGGCCCAGTAGGTGGGCACTCACTGCGGCAGCCGAAGTAGCCGGCCTGGCCCAGCCCGAAGAAGCCGTCCTTGCACACTGCGCAGGCCTGGCCGCACACGCGGGGCTTGCAGAAGCACTGGCCATTGCCCTGCGGGTGGAGGGCGGAGGTGGGGCTAGGCAGGGAAGGGTGTCCCAGTGCATCTGCCTCTAGGCCCCCCGCACCTCGGCCCTCAGACTCACCAGCTCGCACTCGGCAGCTCCGCCCAGGGTGCCCCTGGGGTCGCAGTTGCAGCCTGGGGGAGGGGAAGAGCAGGCCTGACAGTGGGGGAGGGAGCAGGAGGGCCTGGACCCTGTGGGGCCAACCCTCACTTCCCTGTCCCTCCAGGGTTCTCCCCCGGCCCCAGCATCCACTCTGGGTAGACTCACGGGTGCAGCCCTCAGGGTTGCTGGAACTCAGGCCCCAGAAGCCAGGTTTACAGCGATCACAGCTTGGCCCCTCCACATGTGCGCGGCATGTACATGGGGCCTGTGCCTGGGAGAGGTTGAGACTGAGGGTCAGAGTGGGCCCCTCCCCTCCTATCCACAAACTCTCAGCCCTGGAGCCCTGGCCCTGCACCATCTCTGGCATCCCCCGGAGTGGGGACAGAGGACCAGCCAGGGGAACGAATGCGCCTGGAGATTTCCACGGTGACCAATCAGCAGGGGAAGCAACGTCTCAGCCCCACCAAGGGCTGCCGTGGGCTCACCTCAGGAAGGACACGATCGGCGGGGGCCAGGCCAGCGGGGTGGCAGGAGCCAGCTGTGGAGACACCGCTCGGTCATTCCTTAGTCATTGACCCTGACGGCAAAGAACTCCCCAGGCCTGGCCAGGCCCCTCGGCTCCCACACGTGTGAACAGGCATGAAGATGTGCACCTCCATGCTCTGGTCCCCACACCACAAGGGCATGTGCCCTTCCCCCTCCCCAGCACATGGTTATGAACAGGCAACAAGTGCATCCAGCACATGAACATATGTGAACACACATGGACCCATGCACAGCACATGGACACACGCACCGCATCTGAACACACATTGACACAACCACAACACATGAACACACATCCAGGAACAAACATGCAGAGAGTGCATGGACATTAACAAGGCACATGGATACGCACCCACAGCATACGACCCGCACATGAACACATGCAAGAGCAACCACACGGACACACGCGGGCACAGAGCACACAGACGGTGGCAGGAACGCCCAGCACAGGATGTGTGAGCCTGTCTTGCACATGGCACCAGCCTCACCTTCACAGTAGGGGAAGTTGTAGGTGCCAGGCACACACGTGTCACACCGCAGCCCTGTCACTCGGGGCCGGCAGCTGCACTGCCCGCTGCGGGGGTCACAGGCTGCATCCAGGGAGCCGTGGGCAGAGCAGTGGCAGGCTGGGAAAGGACGGGGGTGTGGGCGCGGGCATGCGGTGGGATGCGCCCCCCTCCCTGCCTCCTGCAAGGACACTCACGGGCACAGGTGGGGAAGCCGTGGAACCCAGGGCTGCACTCCCGGCAGGTGGCGCCAGCGAAGCCAGGGCGGCAGCGACACACCCCGCCGACACTGCAGAGCTGATCCAGGGCCCCCTGGGGGTCGCAGTCGCAGGCTGCAAGAGACAGGGGCAGGCCATGGGCACCGGCTGTGGCCCTCCCACCCCCACCTCCAGGCTTCTGCCCAGTCCCGCCCTCTGCTCACCTCGGCAGTCAGGGTAGCCATGGTGGCCGGGGCGACAGCGGTCACAGTGAGGGCCATCGAACTCGGGCCGGCACAGGCAGTGACCAGCCTCGTCGCAGCCCTGGGGCAGGGTCCCCGCGGTGCTGCAGCCACACACTGCGGGGGAGAGGGCACAGGCTGCTGAGCAGGGCAGACAAGACCGCGGGCCCAGGCCCACCGTGCCCACTGGGGAGGCCTTGCTCACACTGGCAGAGCGGGAAGTGGAAGTAGCCAGGGGCACAGCGGTCACACGTGGCCCCCTGGAAGCCTGCCCGGCATGTGCACTGGCCGGAGTCACGGTCACAGTCACCGTCCACCACTCCGGGGCTGGAACACTGGCATGCTGCGGGAGGGGGGGCCACACCTGGTCAGGGTCTGGGGGGACGGGGACGGGGACGGGGACGGGAATGGGGCTGGACTCACGGTGGCAGTCCTGGCCGTAGAACCCTGGGGCACAGAGCTCGCAGTAGATGCCCTGGAAGTTGGGTTTGCACAGGCAGCGTCCCAACTGCGGGTCCTTCTGGCAGGCGTTGTTCTGGGTGCCCCCGGCATTGCAGTCGCAGCCTGGGTGGGGGCAGGACGGAGGCCTCAGAGGCCCTGCCGACCGGCCCCTCCGCGGGAGGCCTCCCTTCCCCACAAGCCCAGATCCGTACATTCTACTCTGCATGCGTCTAGACTGAAAGCCCATCCAAGGCGGTGGCACTGGGCTTATGGGGAGATCACGTCATAAGGTGTATAAACAACTAACCACTATGTTGGACATCCAACACTAACATAATATTGTATGAAAATTGTAATTGAAAAAATATATTTTTAAATTTTAGGTCAAACAAATAAATGACAATAAAAATCCCAAGAAGGGAAAGTCGACATTCCAGGGAAAACTGGTGAGTGACGAGATGAGGCGACGACACACACGTGGACTCTTAGTCGTTTGTGATGTAGACACCAAGTCAACCATGGGCGTTCACACAACCACAAAACACGTAAACTCAGAATCACGACACGCCAGGAGAAAATTCTAGTCTTTTTTGTTGTTATTAATCCTCACCAGAGGATATTTTTTCCATTGCTTTTTAGAGAGAGTGGAAGGGATGAAGGAAGGGGAGGGGGAGAGAGAGAGAGAGAGAGAGAGAGAGAGAGAGAAACATTGATGTAGACACATAGATTGGTTGCCTCCCGATTGGAGCCAGAGATCAAACCTGCAACCCAGTATGTGCCCTTGGCCAGGAATCAAACCCGTGACCCTGCGGTGTACAGGCCAACACTGAGCAACACCGGGGGTGGGAAGAAAGGAGAAAAAATGTGTTAAAGCGCTAACTTGTGCATAAAAAGAGGGCCATACGTACAATTTAGATTTGTGACTGAGAGAAAAACACAGCTCAATATTTGTCCAAAGTATAAGGGTGACCATGGACCAGAATTTACAAACCCTCAGAGAAGAAAACACAAACCAACCAACCAAATCCAAAACATGTTTGGTTGCTCTTCCAGCAAAAGGCAAGAGAGGAAAAATTAAGCAGAAAGGAGAAGCGCCACCACCCCTGTACCAGGCCAACGCCCGTCCGAGACAAAACCCGAAGGCACCAGGTTGGCTCTAAAAGGACAATCCGGTCGGTCCTCCTGGAAGGACGCACCTTGGACTACTCAGCAGAAACAACGGTGATGACGCAGCGCGGCCAGTGCGGGCGTAGAGGGGGAGCGTGGAGAGGAGGGACGCCAAGCCAAGGCCACGAGCATTAATGGGGACAAAAGGGACGTGTGTTGAGAAAATGGACTTGGGGTGCCTCCTCACCCCAAGAGAGGCAGCAAACCCAAGCCTCTAAGAGCTGAATAAACATGGTCTTAAGGTGCAGAAAGCCAAATAAACTACCAACATTTCAAGAGTTTGGCAAAACCAGACTCCTATAGAGACAGACTGAATAGGCTGTTCTCAGAATGGCGAAAACCACGCTCGGACAGAGTGGATTTAACAGCATAATTAACACGCGTGCGGGAACAGGTGCACATGGAGATCTGTATCCCACAGAACACGTGTTCCTGCCACATGTCCATGGAACAACCCAAAAGGGTAAAAAACAAAATATTAAATTTCAAACACAAAAAGCAGAAATCGTCAGGCCCCTGAGTCTATGATGTAGTAAAACGAGGACGGAACCAACAAAAAGAGGGCAGAGGCCTGGCCCGTGCGGCTCAGTGGTTGAGTGTCAATCTACAGACCAGGAGGCCACGGGTTGGTTGGTTGGGGCACATGCTGGGGTTGCGGGCTTGATCCCCAGTGTGGGGCGTGTGCAGGAGGCAGCCGATCGATGAGTCTCTTTCATTGTTGATGTTTCTATCTCCCTCTCCCTTTCCCTTCCTCTCTGAAATCAATAAAGAGATTTTTTTTTTAAAGGGCAGAAAGAAAATCAAACCACCAAGAATGACAAACATGCTTCTAAGAACTCTGGTCAAAAACAAATAAAAACTGAAATGACCGAGTATGTAGAAAAAAGCAATAGTGAGAACACAACCATCAACCTTGTGGGATACACCTAGCCAAAGTTATACTCTGACGCAAACTGATAGCTTTAGCCCAGGTTTCTCAACCTCAGTACCACTGACATTCTGGGCTGGACGACTATCAGAGGGGTGGGGCCGTCCTATGCACTGTATACTTTTTTTTTTAAGATGTACTCTTCTTATTTTCTTTTAAATATATTTTTATTGATAACAGAGAGGAAGGGAGAAGGAGAGAGAACTAGAAACATCAATGATGAGAGAGAATCATTTATTGGCTGCCTCCTGCACACCCGACTCTGGGGATCGAACCTGCAACTCAGGCATATGCCCTGACTGGGAATCGAACCGTGAACTCCTGGTTCATAGGTCAACGCTCAACCACTGAGCCACGCTGTCTGGGCATTGTATGATATTTTGTACACCCCTAGCCTCCCTCCATCCACTGGATGACAACAGCAGCCCCAGTTACAACATCCAGAAAGACATTTTAGACGTTTTCCTGTAAAGAAATAATTCAAGAAGCTATCAAAAACAATAACAAACCACAAGAAAGGGTAGAGAAGGAATTAGAGGTTTTAGTTCCAAAATGTCTATATAAGGAAGCAAGACCTCTGCCCCACATGAGTCAGAGAAAAGCCCAAGCAATCCTGTGCTATAGCCATGGGCTGTCCTTTGAAAACAGCAATCAATCCAAATGCACTTCTGTTAGGTCAAATGAAGAAGAGACAAAAAGAAAGAAAGAATAAAAATAGACCATCAAGAGTCACGGGTTTGATTCCCAGTCAAGGGTGCCTACTTGTGAACCCCTTTCCAAGTATTTTACAAGGCGACTTACAAACCAAAGCGAGATGGCACCAACAGGCAAGAGCCCTTTCCACCAGCCTCACTAATGGAGCCTTATGTTCATGGCGGGTCCATGGTAACAGAATTCATCATATAATTCACAGGGTAACAGTGACATATGCTTGGGTGGGAACCTACTGAACTGAAGAAGGTATTTGCAAACGCTACATTTGATAAGGGGCTAATATCCAAGATATATTAAAATTCATAGCCCTAGCCGGTTTGGCTCAATGGATAGAGCGTTAGCCTGTGGACTGAAGGGTCCCAGGTTTGATTCCGGTTAAGGGCACATGCTTGGTTGTGGACTCAATCCCAGTAGGGGGCATGCCGATCGATGATTCTCTCTCATCATTGATGTTTCAATCTCTCCCTCTCCCTTTCTCTCTGAAATCAGTAAAAATATGTATTAGAAAAACCCTCATACAATTCAATATAAAAATAAAAAACCCAAACAGCCCTGGTCAGGATTTCTCTCTCTTTCTCTAACAACAACAAAAATATCAATGAAAAATATCCTCGGATGAAGATTAAAAAACACAGCCAAATAATCCAATGGGCAAGGGCCTGAATAGACACCACTCCAAAGCGGACATACAGAGGCCAAGAGACATATGAAAACATGCTCCACATCGCTAATCACTAGAGAGGTGCACATCAAACCACAGTGAGGTACCACCTCACACCCGCCAGGACGACTGCCATCAACACATCAGCACACGACAGGTACTGGCGAGGATGCGGAGGAAAGGGAGCCCCGTGCCCTGCTGGAGGGAATGCAGACGGCGCAGCCACTGTGGAGAACAGTGTGGAGGTTCCTCAAACAATTAAAAATGGATCTGCCATTTGACCCAGTGATTCCACATCGGGTTATTTATTCAAAGAAAAAGAAAACGCTAACTGGGGAAGCTGTCTGGCCCCGAGATCCTGCAGCCTTACAACGGTCGAGGCCACGAACGGACGGTGCCTGCAGATCAGACTGTGGCGTGTCCTCAGCCAAAGACAGGTCCCCATCCCAGCGCTGCTCGCGAGGAGGAGTGTCGCCCGTGGTGAGGACCAGGCTGTCGACATAAACCTGGCTGTGTCCCAAAGCAGTGACGTGACTAACGCGTGTGCCAATGCCTGATGCCGGCAGGTCGTTTCACCCTGAGAACCAGCTGGCGCCCCAGCCTGGGCAGAACCCTCTTTGGGGAACCTTCCTACAGAAGAACTGAGGAGTTAGGGGAAGCTTGAGCTGCAAGGATGTTTACCGGAACATTATTTTTGAAAAGACAATTGGAAAGAGCCTAAAACCCCAGAGTTGCGTGTTGGTTGAAGAAACACTACAGCGTTCTGTGTGACACGGGACGAGAAGCAACACGCCTGCAGGGCGGCCGTGAGTGGGAACGCAATTCTGAAACCGTAGGCAGAGCACACATCCGTGAGTGAACGCGTGTGCATGTCCAGAGGCCCCCGTGGCGCAAAGAGGGGTTGTTGGCGGGGCTGCAACGCGGGGAATGTCTCCTTCGACGGTAAGCTTACTTAGATTTTTGACAGTTTTCTAGCATGAATGTGTATTGTCCACATAAAATGAGAAGAACCCAAATTAATGTGACTAAAGTGAATATCCCCCCTCCGTGCGGGGCCTCCGCGGCCCTCCTGCCCCTGCTCCAGGGGCACCGGGCGGAGCGGGGCCCTCAGCGATACTTACTCACAATCTGTCCGGCCTGCTGCACTTGTGCCACGGAGGAGTTGCGGGGGGCGGACACAGCTGGGGAGGAGACACGCACGTCAGCCAGGTCGGCTCAGCACATGGAGGGGGAGGCAGGACCAGAGGCTCCCCGGCCCGCCCCCCGGCAGCACCCTCACAGTAGCAGTGTGGGAAGCCGGTGAGGCCCGCGGCACACGCCTCGCACCGCTCCCCCGCGAAGCTGGGCCGGCAGTAGCAGCGGCCGGTCAGGTCCTCACACGTCCCGTCGGTGAAGTTTGACTCGCAGTTGCAACCTAGGTGGGGGCCGGGAGTCATGAGACCCAAGCCCAGGACTCGGGCCCAGGACGGGCCGTCTCTCCTCAATGTGGGCAGTGGGAGGAGAGCTGTGGCCGGCCCGCCCGGAGCGGTGGGAGGGCCCCGGGGAGGCAGGGGGCCGGGGACCCTGGGCTACCCTGCTCCCAGCCACCCCTCCTCAGGACACCCCAGCCAGGTTGACCCCACTCACGACGGCAGGTGTGGGGCGAGTCCAGGGGCTGGTCGGGGTCGCGGTAGAAGCCGGGCAGGCAGCGTTCACAGTTGATGCCAGTGGTGTGATGCTGGGGTAGAGGAGGGCCACTGAGTCCAGGGTGTCCCATCCAGCAGCACCTGGCCCCGCCCACCCGCGAGTGCCGCTTGGAGCCCCGCCCACCTGGCAGGCGATGCACACGCCCCCGCCTTGGTAGACGCTGTCCTGGTTCTGGCTGGCGTTGTGCCTGTCCACCTCAGGGTCGTAGTAGCAGTCGTCCGCGTGGCCGTGGCAGTTGCAGGCTGGAGGGAAGGGCAGGCACCCAGCTGTCAGCAGGGCCCCCAGGCTACACCCCACAAACCAGACAACCTCAGATGTGGCCGGCCACACACATGTGCATAGGCACTGTCAGTGTGTAAGCTTGTGTGAGTACAGCTGTGAACATGCATGCGAGTGTCCACACATGAGCGGGCGAGCACCGGTGTCCATGTGTGTACTGTACATGTATGTGCGAACATGTGTGCTCATGCGTGTATGTGTAAGCACGTGTGTGAGTGTATCCACGAGCACTGTGTGTGCATGTGAGCAGGAGTGAGCGCTGCCAGTGTGTGTGCCGAGACGTGTGCATGTGTGAGCTTGTGCAGAAGCATGTGTGCACGTGGGGGGCACTCACACTGACACTCGTTGGCACTCTCAGGAGTGGCCGGCTTCCACTGCTGCTGGTTGAAGCCGGGGCAGCAGCGCTCACAGGAGCCCCCGCACGTGTTGTGCTGGCAGGCGCACTCCTGC